TGGAGCTGATGAAGGACGTGGAAGTGGACCAGGGCTGGCGGTTCGAATTTGTCATCTACCTCGACGAAGATGTTTCGCTGGGTGTCCGAAACCTTGGACGCTTCAAAACAATAGTCCTGGAAGAGAATGACGACTTCGCATTTCGACGGCTACTCACACTGCTGATGCAAGATACACCTTTTGTTGCGGGCATATCTGACAACGACGTTATCGAGGACGACCAAGACAATGCAACATGTGTACAGCGCTGCGTTAAGGACCACATGCTGGTGGCGATGCATCGCACTGCCGTCGACGTGCTGCCGCCATACGAAACACGCCTGGACAACGTCACCTGGTGGGCGTCGGCATACATGCTAAACGCCTACATGGCGGTGATGATGCCGCAGTTCTGTAACTTCTACCGCGAGATAACGGTGGACATGGACAAGCAGAAGCACGGCGACTACCCCCGCACCGACTTGGACCTGCATCCACATGCCAAGCAACTTGCCGCAGACCAATTAGTCAGGCTAGGCATTCCCGGCATACCCAACAATGCCAATGTCAATGGGAGCGCAGTGTGCTGCTGGTTAAGCAGGTTGATACGTGAAAACCGAAAGTCGCTTCTGCGACCACCATGCCAGGCAAATCATCGCAGGGTTGACTTCAAGACGTTGACCAGAACAGCTGCACAGTCCTTTTGCCGAATTACTGAGTGGCAATCCGAACCGTTGTCCACCGTTAGGCGCTGCATCTGCCCCTAGAATTTACCGGATGTTAGCGGCCATGATGAGTTCACTTCGGGAACGGACATGATAATTTGCTTTACCTAATCCGAACCGTATATGGGCCTCAAGTGACAACGGAAGCTTGAAGTGTTGATGCATGTTACTGGTTCCGTACTGGTCTTGAACGATATCAAAGAAGTGTTACTTTTAACAATTATTTTTATTTTATTTTTTTTCCTAGGGAATTCTCCACAGGCGTTATCGCCATTTTACAGGGAACCCTAAGAAAGTCTTGATGGATGATCGAAATTCAGCAGGTGAATTAGACAGCCAGTAAGCAGGTGGCAGTGCATTCCACCTGTCAGCGCCTAAGTAAGACATTGCACTGAAACCACAGCGTGTGCTATAGCAGGGGCTAAAACAAACGCAGCAGACACCTGACCACGGGTAAGGGCAGCAGCGTGAGCACCTTGAGCACGAAGAGTAAAGCGGTTTTGAAGGAGAGAGCAAACAAGGCCATTCATGCAGCGATACACAAATACTTGGGTCTTGAAATTGAGGCGTTGTTCAAGGGTGTATACATTCGTGTGACTGTAGCGAAGGCCAGTTGGGATCATTCTATCCAAGGAAAAAATTATCTTTAGCGCTAAACGGCTTGCAGCAAGACGTTGATTATAAAGAGCTTGCGACAAACAGTGTAATATTATGCAGTGCTACCATACTCAAGCGTAGACTGAATTACAGAGAGGTAGAACAGTCGCTTGCCAAAGATACTGCATGATATTCTGTTCTGCATGCACAAAGGCTCCTACTTTCTTGTTAACAGATGTACACATGGCTGCTACTTGGTCAGAACAGGATAGATGCTCATCAACCAATATTCCTAAATAGCGGGCGGAAGCAGAGGGGGAAATGGGTGTATCACGACAGAGAGCTGCTGTACCAGGTGCAGCTCTTTACCAGGGCGACGAAGTATTAAAAGCTGGATCTAGATGGATTCAATAAAGTTAAATAACGTCCTTTCCTTTCAAGATAGCCATCGAGAGCAGCCAGGTCCTCACGCAGTCGAGTAGTTACTGTTTGACAGGAATGGCTACGGATATGGAAGGCTATTATTATCATCTGCGAAGAGTTTGTAAGATGAATGCCTGAAGCATTGTGGTGCATCGCGGATGTACACATGTAGTATACGAAAGAGCAATGGCCCAAGCACGGAGCCTTGAGGGACGCCTCTTGTGCATGGACGGGCATCACCAAGTTCCTGTCACACTCTAACTCTCTGAACGCGGTTTGTTAGGTAGCTTGCAAAACATGCAAGGGCGGTGCCAGATATCCCCGCATTCTGCAGTTCATTGATTAGGCCTTGATGGTTCCCTCTGTCAAATCTTGCTTTGCTCATGTGGGCACATACTACGCCACAGAACTCGATCTCATCAAGAGCCTTTACCCATTCATCACCAGCTAGGGCCAGGCAGTCCTTACAGGAGCTGTTGGCACGATAGGCAAACTGGTTGTCTCCGGAACATGCAGAATGTCGTTAGACTTGAATCATGCACTGAGGTCTCTTGCCTTCAAGAATTCTATTTTCCTCGTTGTGGAGTACACCTGGACAAAGGAACTAGCAAGCGAATCGTTTTGGTCGCATTGAAAATTGCATGCAAGTGCACAAAGATTTGCGAAGCAATTTGCGTTCGCACTTTCAGCAGAGCAGTTGCGATGAACTTTACTTTCGCCATTGGTTTCAATCAGCAGAAGGGTGTGGCTTAATTAAAGCGATGGCGATACGTTCATGACCAACACGCCCAATGGGGCACGTCCTGGGTTGATATCCACGAAAGACCGTCCAAGGCCCAGTTTTAGCCAAGAGCTGTCGTATCCAAGAAATCAAAAATCGCCAACAGCAAGCTATGGCCAAAATTAATAATAATAATTATTATCTTCCAGGCAGTAATTGACGGACCTAGCGCCTTCTGCCTCGTCTTCCTCCTCTGCATGGCCAGGTTTGGGGCGAAATGAACGCACGGGGCGCGAAGAAACATTCCAAAGACAGAACGGTCAAAATTAGAACCAATCGTTTCCAAAGAAACGTGTGGCCGCATCGCTACGAGAAACTCTACATGAAAACCTCAAACGAACTTTGACCTCTGTACTACTCAAAGCGGATTTATTCAAACAATACGACATGGAACACACACACATGGAAAGAAGGAAGAAAACCAAAGATTCAAGGGATGAAACTCGACGATGAAATCAAAATGAAAATTTGAAAAAAGTATAATCCAAAGAAACTCAAGGCAAATGTAACAAAATGTAACTCGGATGGTGAGCCAATTAAATAATTGTGAAAAGAAGAAGGACAAAATGTTACGAGTTATGACTAACTCAGTAACTGTCCACCAACGTAACCAGATCTTATACAGTCAGCCAGTGCGACAAAATGGCACAAACTGACAAGGAGTACTGAGACATTCGGCGACCTGACACCTAGCTCCAACACTCCTCCGAGGCGCAAACCAACAACCTTCCAACTTGGAAGGCTCAGGTAGTAAGGCCGGTATGTCCAATAGTCTTACTAGTTTCGTCATCATCCAGTAACTTTCGGCATTCTTTGTTGCCGTGATGCGTAGCTCCTGCTCTTCTTCGTTGCGCTTTCCTTCCCCTCTTGAACCTTTCCGAACCTGAGCCTTCCAAGTTGGAAGGTTGTTGGTTTGCGCCTCGGAGGAGTGTTGGAGCTTGGTGTCAGGTCGCCGAATGTCTCAGTACTCCTTGTCAGGTTGTGCCATTTTGTCGCACTGGCTGACTGTATAAGATCTGGTTACGTTGGTGGACAGTTAGTAACTCGTAACATTTTGTCCTTCTTCTTTTCACAAATGTAACAAGGTTGTGTAAAAGATTCAACTCAATCCCTAGACGAATCCCTAGACGAATGCTTTGAAAGGATGTGTGAAGTGTGCATGGATGAAATGAATAGAAGTAAAAAAAGCCCTCTGTACTGAAGTACAGCATCTAGCATGCTATGCTGTAGTTCAGTCCAGTGCCAGTGGTCAAACTGCACTGACTACCGGTATGTCTGTTTCAGCACTCACGCGATAGACTACGCCATTATCATGATTATGTACGGTCTACCACGCACTGAATATGGCGGCTCCTCAATTTTTCTAAATATAAATTATAATTATGACTGTAGGATAATAATAATCAATCGGGTGAGCACTTTTTGAGCATAAAAATCAGCAGAACCTCATAATAATAATTATGGCCCATGTCCATCGAGCAGACTGAAAAGCAGCTTCTTTCGCCGAGGACCTTGGCTTTGAGCGCTAGCGCGGTCGTCTTGCAACAGGATTTACTGTGTACTCGTATGTAGATGGGTTTTTTTACGTGTGCAAGTACATGTGTACTTGGACGCTAGCACGAAGTCAAGCACCGGTGGCTGCCACTTGTACTGCGGCTTGCGGACTGGATGATGTAGCGCTGTGTGTCGGCCCCAAGACTTGGCAAAAGCGCAGTGCTAGCGCCCTCTGTCAAGCACAAGCGATAGCTTGAACTGCAGTGCTAAAAAAGGTACTCAGCTGAGAGCAAGGGAAAGCCTTGAAGTTCGTTAGGACTGGAGTCTTAGGACTCGGGATAGATATTCTGCTTCTTCAAGGGTCAGTTCTGCCAAATTCTGCTCTCTCGTCAGTGTGGCGTTTTCTGCCGAATTTTCTGCCGGCATTATCCTCCAGTCCCTTGTGGCAGTCTGGGACAGGTGGTCGCCTTATCCGGGTGGTCGCCTTGACAGGTTTCACTATAGATCAACATGTACATAATATGCAATTAATTGAAACTCGGGTATTGAGTCAATAATAAAAGTAGAAAGGAAAAGGACATAATTATGGAAACGAGTTATGAGTAACTCTCCACCACTGTAACTAGATACTATATACAGTCAGAAAGTGCATCGTCCAGTAACAATCGACATTCTTTGTTCCGTTGGGACTGTAGCTTGTGCTCGTTTTCGTTGCGCTTGCCTTCCCCTGTTTGGTCTTTCCATAACCTTGAACCTTCCAAGTTGGAAGGCTGTCGGTTAGCGCTACGGAGATGTGTTGAAGCTAACAAGTTAGGTGTCAGGACGTCGAATGTCTCAGTACTCTGTCAGTTTTGTGCCTAGTTGTTGCACTTTCTGACTGTATAATATCTAGTTACAGTGGTGGAGAGTTACTCTTTTAAACTCGTTTCCATATGTCCTTTTCCTTTCTATGTACATGTAAGAATAACAATGAACGCCTCCGTTAGCATCTCCCATCAAAACACAGTGAGTGAAACCTGTATTTAAGCAAAATGGCAAAAAAGCAGCAGCGATAGCAGCGCAAGCAATGTAAATAGCTTTTTATAGAAGAAAAACAATAAACACAACAATAGCAGATTAACGAGCACTTGTTGCGTCTTCCCCTCAAACCAGTGAATATTATCTACAAATCCTAGCCTACTGAAGTAAATGTAACTTTTCTGTTCACAATAGTGTAGCCATTGCACTCCAGGTCACAGCCGTTCAAATGTATAGCCTGAGCGTGTGGGCTAGAAATGCAAGGTTTAGATAGAGTTAATATTCTGAAGATGCAGTTGATCAAGTCAGCAGTATCTACCTGGGAGATAAGGCAAGAAATAAAAAATAAAAATAAACTCTAAAATACCACTCACATGAAAAGTTTTAGAGTGAAAAATGTGATTGGCTTTGTGCGCCCAAACTGCCTGCATTACAAGAAGCATTACATCTACTGAAGTACTTCAAAGTAAACAGTGTGAATTGTGAAACTTGCTTGCACGTTCACTTTCACACGTTTACAAAAAGTGAAGGCCGGCGTGGACAAATACTGTAAATATACAAATTTTCGGCAGCTATTTAATTTCGGCTATATTCGGCACCGACCCAAAACGCCTAAATTAAAACGCCGATGAAATTTTTCCCAGCATCTGTCGCACTATACCATGCCCTCTACCCCATGCCGAAAATAAATCGCCGCCGAAATGTCACAAATCCTCAAGTGCTGAAATTTTGCAGGGCCGAAATTTTGTAAATTTACAGTATACAGCTTAGTAGCATACAGCTCACAGAGAATACAAGTCACCACGCCATCCTCAACTCAGTCTACTTGTCCTTCTTAGATCGTAGCACATCTAGTTGAACCATGCAGATGGGTCTTCATGCATCTCCGGCTCCACTTCTTCAACGCCGTCGTCTGCAAACATTGGGCGTTCTTGGCGCACGGGCAGTGGTGGGAACCGGTCGCCGCCCGTGATGCGGGGTGCTGTCGGAGGTGGAACATCATTCTCCATGCCCTTCAGTCTCTCCTCCCTCACATCGGAAAGCCTGTATTGAACAGGAGAATAAATTGACAAAATGCATTCTGAAGGAAGAGAAAAGCTACTGGTAGCTTCAGGTAAATTACAACTGTCAAATTACAACTAGCAATGCGTCGTATAGACAGCGCAATGATCGCTGGTCCAATGTCACGCGAATTCGTCTGTTTTCATCATCAGGATGGAAGCTTGCAAGCACTAATCCTTTCTCAATTGGAAGACAGTATTGTTTTCTTCCTCAACGTGAACTCATTAGACTGAATATCTCAAACCTGTAAGCAGCAAGGAAACCATGTGAAACTGAAAAAATACACCTATTACTTCGTGCCTACCCTCTCTGTGGAGAGCTGAATGCATGCTGGCTAGCCTGCCGTCCTATAGTGGATGAACGCTGAGATCCGGCGGGTGTCTTGTCAGTCGGTGGGCTGCTCAGTGATGCTACATAGTTATCCAGTACCCGCTCCTAGGCAGGGATAGTGGAACACACATACACACATGCACATACACATGCATGCACACTCACACACGTGCATGCACGCGTGCACACATACACACATGCATGCATGCACACATGCACGCATGCACACACAGACACACACACGCACATACACACATGCACGCGTGCACACACACAAATATACACAAACACATACACACACACATATGGATGAGACCAGGTGATATGGCATTCAGTGCATTGGTTAGGATGCAATCTTGTTCACCCTTGCTTATCTGGAATATGCTTCCAGCTGCAGAGTGTCCAGCAGACTGCTAGTGCATACATGCTAGTTAGAGCAACCATAGCAACGCTAATGGAGAAAAATACCCAGAGCCAAGCATGGAAAATCCGGTGGCGGTGGAAGAATTGATCAAACACATGCTGGGTACAAGGTTCCTGCCAAACTGACACTCGACTGACTCATGGTCGCCATCCAGAGCACACGAGGAGTCCTTCAAGCCTCCCACTCGGTAACCTGCATGAAAGCATCACTCTTTCCTCAAGCCGCTGAAAAACAGGCAGCGGGAAGTGTGAGCTCCATGTAGGAACAAACAATTTTGTCCACTAATATCGCCGAAGTCACTACTTCTAAATTATGGTGAAAAAGAAGAAGGAAAAAATGTTACGAGTTATGACTAACTGTCCACCAACGTAACCAGATCTTATGCCGTCAGCGAGTGCGACGAAATGGCACAAAACTGACAAGGAGTACTGAGACATTCGGAGACCTGACATCTAGCTCACCATCTGAGTTGAATTTACTTCTAAATTCATAATTATTTCACTCACGAATTCTTTAGAGCATACACTGTCCACTCCGACATCGTCCCCATCACCTGCACAGGGAAAAGAGAAAAAACAAAAAATAGGTGCAGAAAGATTAGTCGAGAAACTGTCAAACTTCGCACCTCTACTGCAGAGTGCAAAATATAGAATACAACTCGTAACATTAACATCTTATTTATTGCCATTTAACATTAACATCGTAATTATATTTCTCTCGTTCCTTGCCCCATGATTAATTTTATGTTGGGAAGGAGACGTGTTGCTTAAAAGCAACACTCATTTACCTCACCCACCTCACACTTGCTGCCATTGAGTTACACCATACCTGAGTTAAATTTTTAAATTTTCACGGTTCGCTTGAGACTCGGCCAAAGGCCCAGTTTTCCGCATCCGCGGGAACGCCGCCACCCTCTTGGATCAAGGCGCAGATGCAGCTCCTAAGCGGTGGGAGGTGAGTAGATGAGACCCACCACAAAGTGGTCAAAGACCGAAAATCCCATTCACTGCATCCATGTTTCCCTCGTGCCAGGGCACGAGTTCCCAATTACCTGTGGGTCGCAGCACGGCTGGAAAAATCCTTCCACTTCCAAGCAGGACTTGAACCTGGTACCCTCTGTTAAGTTAAGGGCATGTATAATACACCAGAGAGAGATTGGAAGCTGTGTCGCAACTCTGACTTTCACGTATTACTACGATCATCAGGCAACTGATGGCTCCAAAACGGGCAGCCTGAACATAAGGGCGAGCAAGGTGAGAAGTACTGAGGGGAATCATAGCGCACGAGTCAGGTGCAGGCGTGAAGTTGCTAAGTCTTTAGACTTGAGGCTATGCAGCAGCAGTTCCGGCGTGAATGATATAGAATAGGTCATATAAAATAAACCGGCATAAGTTGTCTAGCGTCAGATTTTCCCGAGAGTTCGGGCCGGACGGGAGGATTCATTTTTTGGCAGTTGTAGAGTGGCTGCTCACAACCCCAGATATGTCACTTTTCTCTCTTCAGTCCGAAGTTCCCCTTTTGAAGCCGTTTTGGTGCTGAATGAGATAAATCGATGTTATGCCGCCAAGTTGTCAGCCATGAATAGCATTTCAGCGCAAAACACTCCTGAGGATGTGGTGAAAGTGACAAGAAACAATTTGTTACTTCGGACAAACAAAGAAATCATTCTGGCAAATCAGGTTTACTTTTTCAAGCCCACAGCGCCTATGGTTTATTCAATCTGTGCACTTTGCCTTCGAAGATCTCCAGCTATGCTGAGTAGAGGTCATGAGTGCAGGCCGGGCAGTGCAATACTGAAAGCATACTGTAAATATACAAAATTTCGGCGCTGCAAAATTTCGGCACTTCACGATTTTTGACATTTCGGCGGCGATTTATTTTCGGCGTGGGGTAGAGGGCATGGTATAGTGCGACAGATGCTGTGAAAAATGTCATCGGCGTTTTAATTTAGGTGTTTTGGGTCGGTGCCGAATATAGCCGAAATTAAATAGCTGCCGAGAATTTGTATATTTACAGTACATCGTAGATTGTATACATTCAGCACATATACAGGCGCTAAAAATGTATAACCAACTGGCTGGGAGGACGAATAATTCGGGGTGATGAACATTCAACAATTTTACTTGGTCTAAATGCAAAGCCAAACAATGTAATCTTTTTACTGGCTTTTTAGAACATATGGTGGAGGTCAAACCAATGTGCTTCTGATGATCTAATGCTATTGTATAGAAAGCACAGTGGATCTCTGATAAGACGCACACACATGGGCAGTAGGAGAGTGCACTTACTTCGTAGTATTATTAGCCATACTTCTAATCCTGACATACCGTATTTTCCCCAATAAATGCACAGTACTTTTAATTTGTCAAAGGTGGTCAGACCTGCACTACTATACTTAGGAGACCATACTAGTATTGGAGACGTCCACTTTTATTGTTTCTGGAAAGGTTGATTGCCTGGGTTGGGTCGCAAATAACTCGTGATATTGATGCTGTAAGGCTGTACATAAGTCCAATCATGATAAAAATCAGTGTACAAAGACACAATGATGATGAACGGGTAAGAAGAACGAAGTACAGTGGACCCTAGTCCCTGTACCCCAGTAATGCCCATCACATCATTCCGGCCTGTACAGTCAGACCTCGCTTATCCGGCCCTCGTTTATCCGGATCCCTCGCCATCCGGAAGAAAATCGCTGGTTACCGATGTGCAGCATATGTTATGCATACAACATAACCGGACCTCGCGATCCGCATACCGGTGCATGATTTTGTGTACAAACTGGTAAAAATGTGTACAAAAAGCTTCGTCGTATCCGGTTGCATGTGGCTTGCAGAAGCTAGAATCAGGGAGTTGTGCAAGCAAATGAGGTCCTTGACCTGCTGGGTGCATGCGGACAGCACTCAGTTGCATGCACTTGTCATTTTTCTCGCTTGTTTTACATACTGTGCACGCTAGTTGTACTGCAAAGGACCCGTCTAGTCCACATGTACATGTATGTACGATGTCACTGCTTTTGACATGCCACATGCATATACAGTATGTGTTTTCAGTTATCCGGTTCCCTCGCCTATCCGGATATTTTTGTGGAAAACAGATATGTGCGGTTAAGCGAGGTCTGCCTGTACTACTATGAGAGACGTGTCCTTTTATATTTTTGATCCACACTGAGCATGTACTGCAATAATTGGAGACGTGCAGTAAACTAGTATTGGAGACATGCACGTTTTATGGGGAAAATACGATACCGTCTTTTATGTTGATGATGTCTTATGACTCGGGGTGTGTACTAAAACAGTTGCACTGCATGCCAATGGACACAATGAATATTGCCATGCCCTGCAGCACAAACTTCTACTTCTACCGAACTTACGCAGTGCCTTCCTTCTCTTGATGCTTGTTATTACAAAGGACATGTCCTCGAGGAACACAATGGCTTCCCTCAGCACCCTGCGATCTGGGTGAGTCTTGGGTGTGAACTGAAAGCACACATCATGAAGCAGACAAAGATAAATGACAATGTGTACATTCATCAGTGGATTGTCGTAACACATTTTCGAATGTATACTTGAAACATCATTTTCTTGCATGGATGGCTTTCAGCTATGGCAATCCAGTGATGAATGTGACATGAAAATCGATTTTGGGAAAAAATCATGACTTCGTTGTTGTGTGGCAATGACGGCAGAATTTGTTAACTTTATTTCTATTTTTAGATATTGTTGTCTCCACGTCGACTAATTAGCAATGCGTACATTTTATTATCCACTTTTACTAAGCATTTAGGTTGCCGTCAACCGTGTGCCACCAGTGTGATCCACTCGGTAAGTGTATCATAAACGTGTAGGGAACATGTTCTCACCTTCTAGCCATGGGTACACCCACACACATTTAATTTGCCATTTTTTAAATGGCTTTCAAAAGGAAGGGGCAATAGGAAATGTGTCATTGGTTCTGGTTACTAGTAATTCACTTGATGGGAAAGCATGAAACTGGTTATTGAAATTCTTGACGGTAAAGAGCTTGAAATTTGTACTTTGTCTTGCAAGTATAAGCTTGATTTCTCTAAGAACATTGTTCAACAGCAAATCGTGATTTTAAACATAATTTAAAATGTTGCAGCTGATATTACACACAAGAACTCTGTCTCCTTTCACTCTAACCTCATACAGTTCTTGCAACTTCATCGGGTACATCAGCAAATGGAGCGTGGGCAGTGCCAAGCTTCTCCGCAGGTCTCTTGCACTCCGCTGATGCTGGTGCTGCTGTCTTCTGCCATCATCACTTTGTTCATCATTCAGCCTCAGCAATGCGTCATGAAAGTCTGGATTGAAGTGCAGCTGAAGCATGACAAAAGGCCAGTGAACAGCCAAGAATACCTCCTGAAGGTACTGTTACAGAGTACTGTAAAAGCAGAAATTTTCGGTGGTGTACTTCAGTAATATTTTCAGTGTTCTCCAAAATCGGCGGTTCAGTGGAGGGAAATTTTCGGTAAAACCCATTTTCTAGGTAAGTGTACTAGTGCTACGTGTACACAGTACCGGTAGTGCCGAAAATTTCGCTGAATTTTATTATCAGTAAAAATTGCCGGAACCAAAGTTTTTAAACAATCGACGAGGAGACAATAGTCGTAAAATGGCAATAAATAAGATAAATTGTGCACTCATAACAACAGCAAAAATGAAGAAAGTCAAGTTCCATAACGTTTTCTTGTGACTGTCATCAGTGGAACGCCGTCACATAAAAATGTAATAACTAAAACACACACTTATATACATGTAGCTAATATGGTTTCAGGTAGAAATACAGCAGCTAACAAGTACAAAAAGCGAAGTTTGCACCTTTGCAATGTGTGAATATAGTGTATGTGAGAAAGGTAGTGGCAGATGAATGTGATACTGTGTGAATGAATGTAATGGTGCGTGTGTATTACTTGAAGAAAATCGATCGTGCAAAAGACATACTATGCAGTGAATGTAGTTACTGTCTTTACAACGGTGCGTTCGTTCACAGTGTTGAAGGACGTCCTGCCAACCCACCATTTGAGCCATCTCATTTATCAATTTGAATGCCGACAATGTGGTAGTCGGTATGTTGGCAGGACGCTTCAACACTTGTTCGAACGCATCAAGCAGCACGTCCCATTATCATTGTTGTCCCAGGCTGCCAGGTTAAGCAGGCCGAAGCGTGGGAGACCACGAAAACATCCGCTGCCTATTTCTACACCTAGCACGGCTCACAATTCGGAAACAGAAACACCGACTACTTCCATGGAGAACGAGCAGACTAATCTGGTTCCCCCCTCGGAAACCGGACCACGGCAAGGGAGGCCGCCGGACGGTCGCTCCTCGACAAACCATGTTGCTACAACGGTAAGAGCGGAAGGCGAACAACTTGAAAACAGAGCAGAACCGAGGAGAAGCAAGAGACTAGCAGAGGCACGACTGAGACAAGTGGAGAACACAAGGCAAGGAGACGCAGGAGGAAGCACAGGCACGGCACAGAACGAATCAAGGAGAGGGAAGCGGTGTCGCGAGGAGATGGAGACTGATGACGACGAATACGAGTGCGATGGGATGGACGGCGGCATTGGAATGGAGGTGGAGGATGAGAGTAGTGATGAGGAGGAGTTTGATGTTGACAAGAGGAAGTCTGCAGTGTACAAGCATTTGGTGTCCAGTCCAGAATGTCGTAAGGTGTTTGACGATTCCTGGTTTAGTGTTATTCGTTGCGCACGTTTCTTCAAGCAATTGCAGGTGTAGGAAGCTGTGTATATTCGTACTCGTGACCCTGTGCTATGTAAACAGAAAGAAAATGTTGTATCACTCACACTCTTCAAGTAATACACACGCACCATTACATTCATTCACACAGTATCACATTCATCTGCCACTACCTTTCTCACATACACTATATTCACACATTGCAAAGGTGCAAACTTCGCTTTTTGTACTTGTTAGCTGCTGTATTTCTACCTGAAACCATATTAGCTACATGTATATAAGTGTGTGTTTTAGTTATTACATTTTTATGTGACAGCGTTCCACTGATGACAGTCACAAGAAAACGTTATGGAACTTGACTTTCTTCATTTTTGCTGTTGTTATGAGTGCACAATTTATCTTATTTATTGCCATTAACCAAAGTTACCGAAAATAAACACCACCGAAAATATAAAAAATATAAAAATTCACGGTTCGCGTGAGACTCGGCTGGAAGCCGGGCTTTCCGCATCCGTAGGAACGCCACCACCCTTCAAGGATCAAGGCGCAGATGCAGCTCCTAAAGCGGTGGGAGGTGAGTAGATCAGCTCACCAGCAAGTGGTCAAAGACCGAAAATCCCATTCACTGCATCCATGTTTTCTTCGTGCCAGGCCACGAGTTCCCAATTAACTGTGGGTCGCAGCACGGCTGGAAAAAATCCTTCCGCTTCCAAGCAGGGATTGAACCTGGTACCCTCTGTTTCTCAATTATGATCTTAGACCATCACACTATGCCTGCCTGCATCGAAAATAAACACCACCGAAAATTTCTGCTTTTACAGTAAGCTAATTTAACCGACCCAACAATCAATAGGAGAAAGATTTCTTTTGAAAATGTCTATCTCAAACCCAGGCCTTGCTTTCGTGCAAATACAGGCTTGCATACCGTATTATCTCTAATATAAGCAGGGTCCTTTATTTTTTCAATGTACCTCCGCCCCGTGCTATTAATGGAGACGTTCCTTTATTGGAGACTGTTCCATTATTATTTCAACCTCATTTCAGAGGCATGTTCAGTGTCTGCTCTAGGATTGTAGGACAGCCGGGTGCACGTGTACCTGGTGCAACCATTTCAACCGGGTCGGAGCCGGGTACACATGTACCTGGCGCTGTCTCACCAGCCGAGTCACATGCTTTAACCGGTTGGTTGGTTTATTTTAATTCGGACAATAAACGGGAACTAGGCCCAATGATATAAAGGCGAATGGATAAGCCGCATTTAGAAAAGAGAGGACACTCAGGACAGGAATTATAAAAGTACGAAAGAAGAAGAAGTATCTGACACATACAAGCCATGTGGTCAGTTCTTTCAAAGTTCGAAAGTGTAAAGTACCAACCGGGTCACAGGTGACCCGGTACTATATTTTCAACCGGGTCCAAGCGCCGCCCAACCGGGTGAATTACCCGGCTCACCCGGCGCTGGAGCAGACACTGATGTTGCCATGCCAAATTCATGTATGACACACACATGTCAGGGTTTTTTTCGCCGGTACAGATAATGAATTTACACAGTGTGCTTATAATGGGGACTGAGCACTTTGTTTTTTGAATGCCGCCCCAAGGTGTTCCATTATTGGAGATGTGCTATTATTGGAGACTGTGCTTATATTAGAGATAATACTGTAGAAACAACAGCTGTGTTTAAGACCTTACTGTGCACTACTGGGTATGTCGATGTACATGTATGCTGCTGGATACCGAGTTGGCCATACTTGTTTTACAAACACAATGGCACACAAGAAAATTCCTCGCAGTAGCTAATGCGGCTCTTGAAGGGCACCCTCACCTCACACAGTAGTTTGCAGGCCTCGCTGTAGTTGCTGCAGTACATCTGGTAAGCGATGGCAAGGTTCCGGTGCATGTCCGTGAAGCAGTTGCCAATACACCAGTCCTCACCTGTGCCATGCTGCGTACTCCTCCGCAGTTGCCTCAGCAGCGTTTGCGCAACTTCGAGAAGGTTCTCAATATTGCCGAAGAGAATCTCCGTCATAACAAATTCCTGAAAAAAAGCATGCACAAAAGCATACACACATGTAAGAACATGAGACAGAGCAAGGAAATGGGTGATGTCTAGAAACTTCTGCCATTTCTATCCTCTGTGTTTCTCCATGACATTATAGTGAATGAAGGTTTAACGGTTGTACCTGGTGTTATCACTCCATGGTTTATAATTATATTGAACTCCTCTCACTTGTTGTCTCTAACCCATATGTATCCACTGGTGGAATGGACTAGAGAGCTTCTGAACAATGACTTTACGCCTGCTGTGAAGATCTAGCAGCTTTGTGCGATGATTATTGCCTCCCATGTCTCTTCACGTACATGTACATGGCAGTTACGCATGATCTCACACCCGTGCAGTAGTGTTGGGGTTGTTATACATTGGGTCGACATGTTTGGCGTGGCACAATCTCGGAATCTTAAGACTTCGGCCAGAATGTTCTCGCAAAGCGTAGGGAGGCATGGCTTAAGTTGTTTTAGTGGTTACTACATTTGAATTTGCATTAGCTGGCTAGCATTATAATCCTGGAGTGTGGCATTCCTTATTCCTACGTGATACAAATCAACAAAACCCTGACTTAACTCAACTCATGCACGGGAACTAACAACCGCCAAGTCCTTTTCACGTCCTCGCGGGAAACGGCACATCCTATATTATGCATGACATAACACAATGTTCTACTATCATGAACGTCTCAGGTGGCCAAGGGATGCAACAGCGCATATGTGTACGTGGACAGTACACTGAGAGGTACTGTTTCGCAGAGCTGTGACTAATCCAGAATGTTACACTGGACCATGTCAACTGGCTGGCTAAACGGAGCTGCTGTCCGGACAAAGCCTAAATTTCAAGAATAGCTACACACATTGCAACCTTACTGTGGATTCAAGTGGCTCTAAGTACTCATTAACACAGCGTTGCAAGTCGTGTGCGTATTCCTCCTCTGAACGAATGAACTCCAGAATCAAATGCTCCCTTGGTGATTGGCCGGAATCTGAGACGGGCAGAGAAGAATACATACATTCACCTTGGGCACCCTGTAAGAAGACCTTAGGGTCTGTTGGGAATGCCCCAGTAAATACACAAACAATACAAAACAAAACACAACGCCGACAGCCATTGCTTACTGTAATGTCGCATATCAAAGCCGGGCTTATTCCTGTAGAAGCAGATGTCAGGGCTAGGCTTCTATTCACAACAGGATACTATGCAAACCAGGATTCTATGCAAACCAGGTATTCTATGTGTGTCAACATTAAAACCAGGCTCATGTGCCCACAGTGTGTCTTGAAAATCAGGCTTGTATTCAAGACAGGCTTCTACATGAGGCAGACACTACTGTATGTCTCATAGACTTCTTCTACCCAGAAAAGCCCTGAACCTCGTATGTACTATACATAAGGTGCATACTCAGTAGAGACTACTTTATCTGTTCACACAGTACGAAATACCACAATGGCTAGAGCTTTCTTATTAAGGCACAGAAGGCAGAACAGGGTTTTTCTTCTTTGGGCAGGGAACCTTGTTCTGTCTTCAACATGAGGTTCATAGACCAGCGCTGGTATCAAATGACTATGCAAGGGAGGGAATGGCAGAGCCATTCATTTTAGGGCAATATCAAAACAGAATAGGTGTGGAGTGACCCAGGACGGAGTTTCTTAGATATGATACAATGAGTGCGTTCACGTAGAGGAACTAACACAGGTGCTGTGGAACGGGTAATTTTTAGCGACTATTAATTTTAGCGTTTTCCCATTGTCAACCAGTTAGCGACGTTTTATTTTAGCGATTTTCAGCGATTTTACTCACGGATCACCGGTGCACTACTATGGCTCAACGGATTAGCGACTTGAAACTTTAGCGAAAATGAGTCGATCGCTAAATTCGCTAGGGTTTTTACGTCGCTAAAATTACCCGTTTCTGCAGTACTAGAAGGAAGCATCACTTATGGCAATTATTACTAATTCAACATCGCCGAGAGTATGAATTACTAAGTACAGGTAGGCGGACTAAAAACACACTAGGATAGGAGGAGTACATAAGAAGCAGCATGCTTACCTTCATCATGTAAAAGACTTGGTCTGCCGTCATCCCAAGCTGGTGATGTGTGACCTCTCCCTTCTTCATGCCATTCAGCTCCCAACGCTTCCTTCACCTCTTCCGCCTCTTCTTCCTTTTCTTCATCATCAAAATCCTGTAAACATTCGTTAGCCCATTCCTTTGGGTTGCTGTACTTGGAATCTCTGCTGATTTGCGTCGACGAGTCCTGCAGAATGACACCGGCGGTGACTGGTCGGGCGAGACCTCGTCGTTCTGAATTATCCATCGTGATCCCTCTGGCACTCACGTACGCCGGATTGCGAGTGCTGCCACTGCTTGGGTCCGAGTCCAGAGGTCTGTAGTGAGGACGTCCACCGTTTTCAAATGTCTGTCTGGTCGCGGTGCTCGGCACTGGCTTGTTGCCGGGGCGTGGCGAGAAGACCGCATTTGGAGCGAGGTCAAACGCGTCCTCGCAATCCTCATCCTCCTCATCCAGGTTCTGACTCAGCTTTGTGTCGGGCAGAGGCTGGGAGCTGCCTGAGCCCGTGGCTAGTCTCTGACTATGTCCTTGATGCTATATAAAATGGATGAACACAGACAATAGAGAGATCAGCCACTCGTGAAACCAGTACAGAATGAGTACAAGAAAGACTGAGTAGAGAACGCGTTGCTGACTTGTTTTCGCATCCCAGATCAGGTCACAATAACCAGGGATTCTGATGTAGGTGATGAGTTCAACCTGATTTGCAGCTGTTGTTGACGGCAACCTATTCATTGTATGGATTTTTCATTTCTATTCATTTAGCAATGTATAATAACTGATTCTACAACTCTAATGTTGCTCACTATATGGCTAGTGCTAGTGTGTAGTATCCTTCTGGAACAAGGAATATTTGCAAATGCCTTGCCATAGCCACAGTCTATGCAGCTTGAGACTCCCAATATGGACATTCCAACATGCATGGGTCGACCTGAGTTCTCATCAACATAGCGGAGCTTAGTTTGCTGTAAGGTGTTGATTTCACTTTGTATGGAGAGAGGTTAAAAAGCACAAGAGTTACAATAATGTGACTAACTCAGTACTAACCCAAGGTGCATCCACCACGCCCGAGTCTATTGAGCTGAGATGGTGCTGTCTTGGCTCTGGTCTGGGTGCCACCAGTCCGGGATAGGACCCGTCGCGATTCAACATCCGCGGGCTGGAGCTGCAGCCCGAGCTGGTTGAACTTGGCTTACGGTTTATGCTGCCTGTACTGGACATTTTCTGCAATTAACAACATCAGCAGCATCATGTAAAATTGGAAAGTGCTCTATGTCGCTTGAAGACATCCAGAATATCCTGGAGACTAACCCCAAAGTCTACTTTTGTTAAAGGGAAAGTGCATCAATTTTTCAAGTAGAGCTCAGATGAAAGACAATTTGATATCGGTTCGAATGGCATATCTCTCGCTTGCATACGAGAAGCCAAACTTGCCAAATCGCCAAGTAGTACCCCTCTCCGTTGTGTACTGGGACGTGACACCCACAGGAGAAAGCTGAGGCGCGGGAAATGCAGGAGAAGGCCGATAAACAGTTCACGGCACTGACAGCATTGAACGCAGCACTTCTTTCACATCGTGAATACAATAAGACAATTGAAAATGACCACATTCTCGTAGTGATCGCCCTTCCCTGGTGTAGCTAAGCCGATCGTACGTCATCACTGCGCTGGTCGCTATGGCAACGTATATAATACAATTGGCGATTTGGCGAGTTTGGCTTATCGTATGTCAGCGAGAGATATGCAATTCGAACCGATATAAAATTGTCCTTCATCTGAACCCTACTTGAAAAAAATCGATGCACTTCCCCTTTAAGATTATAACTACAGTGGTATACTCCAACCCCGGCAGTGGTGCACTCCCACGGCACGCGACAACACCAGCCTCAAAGCATGGACAGTGCATGCATATAAACCTGAACGTTTGTACTGTATCCATGCCGTATCAGTTCATTTACACTAGAAACGATATGGAGAGGTTCGCAGTACTGTGGTACACAGGCTCGTAGTGGTACAGAGTCATATGCAAAATCAGAAAATGAGTGCCAGAAAGTGATCTTCATGCTTTGCTGGCATTCCAGGCGCATGAAGCTGTTATACCCCTTGCTATGATTCATTTAGCTTGTACATTAAACAAAGAAACAGAGGTCGGATTCCGGTTGCCACCGCTGAAGTATCCAGCGGCAAAATGGATGGAGGGACAGACAGAGAGAGGGGAAGAAACGGAAAAAGAAAGGGGTGGGAGAAGAGAAAGAGTAGGATGAAGGCTTTTGAGCATGGCAGAGATGCAGTTATAAAAGTGTAAGACAGAGGTTGATGGTCTTTACTTTATATACTAGTACCGTAGTTTCCGGGGTATAAGCCGCACCCCCCCCCCTTTTGTTGCCACGAAACACAGACATCTACCCTATTTATTACCGTTAATTTGATCTTTGGAGTATAAGACGCACCCATAATTTTTTGGTGAATTGTATGTATTGAAAGTGCGGCTTCTGCTGCGGAAAATACGGTATTCACTACTCAGACTTGCTCCGCAGGCGTACTCACATCAGCGTCAGGTTGAAAGTCCAAATATGCCCCAGGATCGGCTTCATCGAGCAGGTCCGAATCCCCGGAACCGTACGGTGGTCTTGTGTCCACCGCGGCCGGCATAGTGCCGTAGCGGTTCATGTCCTGACCCGATAGCCGTGAGCTTGGACCACTACTCATACTGATCGACCTGGTCATGCGAGAAGATACAATCACCTGCGGTGAAGATCAACACACAAAAAATTCACGGTTCGCGTGTGACTCGGCTAGAGGCCGAGCTTTTCGCATCCGTAGGAACGCTACCACCCTCTGTGGATCAAGGCGCATCAATACAAGAAGACCAACACTATGGCCACTCTCTAAATAATTCTATGTTTGAGAGCCGGCCATCCTAGAACATGCAGAACTATTAGGGTTCTAGCCAAAGGGTAGGGGGGGGGGGGGGCAGTGCCCCATCCCCTACTCTGTTTGTGCCCCCCTGTGAAAAAGTGCCGCCCCCCTACTCCTTTTTCCGTTTTTGTGTTTTCATGCCATTCAATGAAAATGCAGTCGATAGCCAGTACTACAGGGTTCATAAAGGCACATTTGTCTGGGGTGAAGTCAGGTGTTTGCCCCGTACATTGCATTTCGCATTGCCAGACAATTACATGTATCTTGAAAATGGAAAAAAATGGTTACTGGGTAGCTGTTCTCCCTGCCCTCCCCCCCCCCCCACCCTTCCCCACTACTTTGACCTGGCTAGAACCCTGACTAGTGTCGTAATGAGCACAGCACAGAGTTGTGTACACAGGGCAGTACAGTGTCTGCTCCAGGATTTCTAACCAACTGGGTACACGTTCCCTGCTAAAGGTGTACATGTATACGTACATTTCCAGCACTGTGATGCGGTTGTCGATGAACTACTGGCTCATGGCGGGGCTCCTCTCGACTGTGTGACCGTGGCTGATGTCCATAGCTGGCAGATCGGGTCATGCGGTGTGCAGGTGTATCCAGGGTGGCCTGCTAACAAAAACACGGAATGCACAAATAACCCACATTGGAGTCAGCATGCTGCACTCTGACCATTCTGGCCAGGCCAAGCACATCACTTGACAGTGAAGAGAACTAGGCTAGGCTGCATGTAGTTATCTGTCAACTAACGAGTTACTTGACCCATGAACAGGCCTGCACTCAGAGTCCCATAAAAATATGGCACCGGGTATCTCTTTGAAGTCCTGGACTGATAAAGAGGTGAGCAATAGCACAAGTGATTAGCATTGCATGTATGTAGAGCACCTAGAACTCGATCATCACTCCTTCTAGCACACACCTTCTGTGTTGACACTGGATGATTCATCGGGCCAACGCCATTCGTCTTGTCCAAATCTGTGCTGCTGAGAGACACAGCACTTCTCGGCGGTGGAACAGGACTGCTGGAAACAAGCGGAGGTTCTTCACTCTGAAAACGATAATGGTACATTGCATGCATTCCCGGATCACGCTTAGGGAAAGAACAAATATTCAGGCTACTGATAAACAACATATTCGAAATTTTACCACCCATGTACTGTCTCATCAGGCGGAGTTTATCAAAAAACGTTGCTTGTGAGGAGACTGAACTTTGTTTTTCCTAATTGTGATTGCATTTTGGTCTCAAGAAGCTTATTTCACAATTTTTCTGTGCAAATTTTCATGGTGTACCAACAGAGCTTTTCGACCAAGCAGGAATCAGATTTATTGAGTAGTGGGTAGCTGTTAGAATTCAAAGGAGTACTCCTGTGTGGCTAGTGGGAGTGCTCTTGTGTGCTCCCGACAAATGCAATGAAAAATACATGTGCCATTGGTGCTGCATCAGAACAGAAAAACCTGGAGATCCGTTGCATGGTCAAAAGTAGTATTCTTGCAGTGACCATTTAACAAGATCACAATCAAGGGACTCAGGAAGATTTCCAGCTGAAGTTTACTGAGGGAAGGTACATGGCTTATAAACTTACATTATGGACTCGCCGGCATGACCCTCGTTGGTGCACGGTGAACGGATCCTTGTGAGGGCTTGTTTGCATCACCAGTCTGGGATCAGAATTGGTACGTTCACGATACTGACCGCTGGCATGGCCATGGAGTGACTGCGGCCTACGTCTGGCTGTGCGTGGCGGTAATGTTTCCATATCATTAGTCGCGAGGACGTGCCTGCTTGAGTAAAGTTGCAGAAAACAGACTGGCCGGATAGTGAAGTGCGGATGTCCTTCCTGTGTCATAGAACAGTGTAATAAAAAAACACTATGAATACAATCATGTAGTTTAAAGTTGTGCGTCGGTTAATCGTTTACATACGAAGACCAGAGCCTAACAAGTAAATAATTATCCATAGCTGTTCGAAACTGAACCAGCATGTAGGACTGTTGGCACAGTCCTGACAAGTGGTGCTGACATTCTACGACCTGCCGTTTAGCTGCCCCAATGTTAGTGCATGGTAAAGTGGAGGATAGGAATTAACCAAATTCCTGTCTGGAGTATTTTGAAGTAAAAGTTATCATTTGGAGAGCATAACGGTACTTGTAGTACAAATGAAATTACACACATCTGGAAAGGACACAATGCCACGTAGGAAGGACACATGTTGGAAGGATGCATGTTGGAAGAGCACAATCAAAGGTCATGTTGGAAAGACATTTATAGGAAGGACACTTTTGGAAGCACATGCACATATTTAATAGACACATCACTGTAACGCCCAGTGCTGAACATAGAAAGGACACATCTCAGAGGTGGACGGGGGGCTAAGGAGATACATTTTGAACACGGATTGCCCTCTTCAATACCACACTTTAAAAACAATGTTCCAACTACTCTTTATGAAAGTCAATTCCAGGAATATGAATGTGAACAGACAGGAATATGAATGTGAACAGACTGGAATTGGAAGCATATTGCCACTGAACAGTCATACTTGATTTATCATGAATCTTAGCTTTACGTTTAGGCGCTGCAGCTACGCCTTTGATCCTAGAGGGTGGTGGCGTTCCCACGGCGGATGCGGAAAACTCGGCTTACAGCCGAGTCTCACGCAAACCGTGAACATTTTATTTTTACTTTTAGCTTTTACATGACTATTGCAAGAGAAGTATATGAACACAACACAAAACATCCAGTTGTTGGAGGCCTTACACCTGGCTTTCCGAATACAGGTCTAGCCTCGTAAGTAGACAACCCCGGGGGTTTCAACATGTTTGTCTTTTAGCGAGTATTATCTACTATGCGGAATTGAATGTCCGAATTTATGGTGTCAGGGAATTTTGGACCATTGAATACTAATGAGGTTTTTCTTATAATCGAAGTCGTATTAACGAGGGTAGACCTGTATTCTAGTGTGAAATGGCATGGAAATTGTCCAAGCCCGACTGGCAATACTTTGCCGCTGCTGCTGCTGCGTCATACAATAGAGACATGGAATGGAAGTACCCTGTACAGTTTGCATTGGCTGCTGGGTGAAAGATGTTCATGTAGCATACAAGGCGGCAGAGTCGATGTTGTTGGTTGTGAGTGGCAAGGAACCATGGTGGAAGATAGTTTGTTAAAACCGTACAAAGATACAGATCTGAGTAGAGGATAGCCCTGATGTACGTTGCTTGTGTAGACGGTTGTCTAAGATCCTCAGGCTGCGTATAGTGTTCTATGTTCAGTGCACAGAGCCTGTAATACACCATGCTGTCTGATGAGTGCTTCTTTACACGAAACTCTGAGTAACGGCAGAAAAGGACTTGATTGTGTCATTGTGGTGTGAGTGTTGTATTGCTTGTATAGAAGTGGGCGTGTCCTTACAGCCAGCGAAATACTTGGGGGTTGGAGAATGTCCGTGACTGGCTGCCATCATGTTACCTGTGCCGGGTAAACATGGATGCATGCAGCCTACACAGTGTCATTGATCCCCCGAGCTGCAGAGAATGCTCAATGTTATAATAGACAGAGCTTAGGACATAGTCGACTTCTACGGGCACAGTCCACGCATGCCACAGTATAGCCAGCACAGTTGTCTAACTGCAAAGCGACCCTCTGTGGCTGAAAATTAGGTGTTTTGTCCATCGTTCCCCCTTCAATAGTGCTTACACTGTACAGGCTGTCATTGTGGTGGCAGCAATGCGATTATACATGATGCCAAATATCCGCCCATGCAGCTTTCTGCTCTGCCACATTATGTCTCTGGACTTTCTGAGCCTGCCTGGATGCTCAGTCACTGCATGCAGACAACCATGGTGTTGGCCAGACAGGACAGCACTTGGGTTGACTGAATGGGGGGAGGCACAGACTCTTGAGCACTGCCCACATGGCCCATTACATACACACATACCTATTGCGCAACATCACTGCTGTGACCCATGTAATGTTATTTGCATGGTTGTTTCCTGCTCTGGCTGATGATTGCCAGACTGCGACATGCTTATGGGAACAGCTGACCGTGTCTATGTGGTCTGTGATGATACCGGTACTCCATTTGGGACCAGTCAGGAGAGGTGCATGATTTTTACGGAACCAATGATCGTTTAGCTGTTAGTGAATATTACTATGTTTTACGAAGAATTTCTGTCATCAACGACAGCAGACCCCGTCATGCCCATGCCATGATCGGCCGCCTAACCATTCAGCTTACCTTCACCGAGCACGGATGCGCAACATTCGTTCACCAATAACACGTAGCATAGGATCGAGTTCAGAGAGCGTGAGCGGCAAACACCATGCGACATGCGACAGGGCGAGCCGTCACAGTCCAAACACTCGCTGATACAAAATGATAAACAGGGTATCTCCCCCAGACTTGTGCCAGACGTCCTTGTCTCCGAAGAGGCAAGCTAGAAGCTTGCCCTCGGCAGCAGTAAGAGCCTAAAGAGGGGCTTTTGGGAGAGATTCAAGACCTGGAGTACGACTATGGAGCGTTTACCCAAACCTCGTGTTCTGCGGCAAACGAAACTGATCGTGTGTTTATTATGTTCGAATCCGCCCATTGAAAGAGAGATGCAGAAAATTCGGGTCGCTAAGCTGTGCAGAATGTGTTCAAGTATATGATTGTGCTATCCTGGCCCAGCACCCAGGCCTAGGGCTGCGATTGCGTTGCCTCTGCCTCTGCCTCTGGCTCAGCCGCTTTCGAGTGAACTGTCTGTGTACATAATAAGAGCCATGGGAAAGCTGTTGCAGCTGCACGTGTCCGCGCTGTCGTGGTTCGCCGCAAAGCGAGGAGGATCCAGGCACGTCTGAGCCGACGACATCGCTAGCACTAGCAGCTCGAAAAGACCGGACTTGCGGATCAATCATCGACATGGCCTTTGACTCATTTGAGAAAGCCATGCCATGGCATGACCGCCGAGATTTACACCATTATTCAGCCCTGGGCCTAGGCCTGTGTGGTCGCATTGAAGAGTCACGGTTTCCAAAATCCATAGTCACACACGTCGTTCTCCAAGCTCGGCACTTCCGTGACAGGTTCAATAATTATTATTACTGAACTTGTATACAAACTCCTCTCTCTAGCTCTACCCACACAACGCTTCTGACTTGTATTTTCTATATAACAGGTACTGAACCATTACGCAGAGATGACGTACGGTTTGTGTAAATGAACAGCTGCCAGCTGGGAGTCAAGGTGAAACTTGCCCTGAGGACTGTTTCACATGCTGATGCTTACATCAAGTTACATGATTGTATCTCGAAAACATCTGCTCATCCGTGATGGAAATCATTTTATATTCCGGCGTTTCAGAGTTCAACGCCGCTACTAGTCCCCCGCCGATTAATACTGGTATAACTCATCTCCCTGCGGACAGAATTGTTTCGTCTTTTGTGGACTCATCAGCGCATCACAGAGAAAATGAGGCGGAACCTGATCGCAAAAAAAAATAAAATTTCCAAAGCCAGGCCCGAACGTACCTTGCCAGAGACAGAGTGCTCATGGATAATTATGCTTGTAACCATGGCCACGCTCGCCCCAGGTTGATGAGGCAGGCATCAGGAAAACTGCAGCTGGACAAAACGCACTACCGGTATGTACTATGATTACCACTGCTAGCACACGATCTTGCACAATCAAAACATTGATACAGTAAGCCATGAGGAAAGGCACATGTTCAGGAAAATTTTAATATGGACGTGATACTGATTCGGTATTACCGGTATTCAGGAAACAAACACGTTAGAATAAGCCATGGTCCTTGGTGTTGGTGCCAATCTTGCTCTATTCATTGCGATAATAGACATTTAAAATGTCGTAATTGACAGGTGGTGACAAAATGGAATTAGTCAGCCCTGAAAGAATAGCTATTCCTCAAAGTAGCAGACATGACAGTGACAGAGGCGCAGATGGGTCGTGCAGATGGGTTGCATGGAGTGTCAAAACGATGGCATCCCAAGCTAAGGTTTGATAGCCAGTGCGATCACGCATATGCGAGGACGTTACTCGCTCAATCTCAGTACATCATTATTATGCCAGATGGATCTGCATGTATCAGTAGGCATTGGCGGATAATGCTCGAAAAGGTGGCAGATTCTGCTTGAAAAGCAGTGAAATTGGCAGAACCATACAAACCTTATGGCGGGTAATTCCTCGAATTCTGCTCCATTTCTTTATCCACATACCAAAAATGCATGAAACTTACCAGAAAAAGTACCGAATTCTGCCAATTCTTCTGCCGGCATTATCCGCAAAGGCCTATGTGTCAGTATAGTTTTCGTTGTTCGTTCAATGCACCGATCTCGATGGTGTGTCCTTGTACTAGTTCTAAATCAACACCAACAGTCCAATATCTGGGCGAACGACACTTCGAAACACCGCAACACCAATGTTGAGACTAAGCTAGCATGTCCGAGGTATTTCAACTCGGATGGTGAGCCAATGTAGTCATGGGATAAAATGGACAAGGACAAAATGGTACGAGCTATGACTAGCTGTCCACCAACATAGTCAGATCATAATTATACAGTCAGCTAGTGCGACATGAAGGCACAACAACGGAGGCATTCAACGACATGGCACCTAGCTCTAACACTTCTACGAGGAGGAAACCAACGACTTTCCAACTTGGAAGGCTCAGGAAAGGTTACGCACATCCAATTGTTGTACTTCACTCAGTTTCGTCATCATCCATGTAACGGTCGGCGTTCTTTGCTGCCGTGATACTAGTACTTAGTTTGTGCTCCTCTTCGTTGCGCTTTCCTTCCCCTCTTAGACCCTTCCTAACCTGAGCCTTCCAAGTTGGAAGGTTGTTGGTTTGCGCCTCGTAGAAGTGTTAAAGCTAGGTGTCAGGTCGTTGAATGTCTCAGTACTACTTTTCAGGTTTATGCTATCTTGTCGCACTCGCTGACTGTATAAGATCTGGTTACGTTGGTGGACAGTTAGTCATAACTCGTAACATTTTGTCCCTCTAGCGCCTTTTTTATATCCGAGGTAGCTACCACTACATGTTTCTTCAAAGCCCCCGGAGAGGCAGCATTGCAAGCATTTACACATACCCTTGTAGTATTCCTGCACTCACCTGCGTCTGTCACTGTCACACATTTCTCATTCAAGAATACCCTACAATTTGTAGATTGGACTCGGATTGTAGTTCCTTGGTCCTTTTTCTTTTCTGTAAATTTGTAGATTGGAAGATAAGGTATTATGCTCCTCGACATTCGTCTTGTTGCGCACTCTCGGTAGGATGCTCTAGTGCTGCTGCAATACGCATTGCCCACTTCTTTTAGTAGTTGGAGCACTCTAGCCCTAGAGCGACGAGCTATCTTAATGTCTGTGATGCCTCCTTTGCACCATGGCTGGTAGCTCGGCTTCCCTAAAGCTCTTAGCTGTACTGATGCGGCCTAGATGGCCGACAGCTTGCTGTCTACAGCATTGGGTAGATTGGAAGATATAAATTCAGTGCATGCAGTCATGTGAAGACATAACAAGAAGGAACAACGCTTTATGGTATACTGAGTATCTCCGAGTTTCTCGGTTTTACTGATTATCAGGCAGCTCAAACACAGCGTGAAACTCAGATACAGCAGAAACGCTTTGTTTCCTTCTTCGTATGTGTGTAAGGCTCTGCACCTAGGTTCATCGAATACTCTCTCGAGCTGCGATCACCTCTCCCTGAGTGTGCAGTCATGTATATTATCACTTGTATAAGCCAATGCAGGCAGGCATAGTGGGATGGTCTAAGACCATGATTGAGAAACAGAGGGTACCAGGTTCAAGTCCTGCTTGGAAGCGGAAGGAATTTTTCCAGCCGTGCTGCGACCCACAGTTAATTGGGAACTCGTGGCCTGGCACGAGGGTAACATGGATGCAGCTAA